ATTGCAAGTAATAATGGAAGAATTAGGGATGAAACAATATGTACAAGAGCCAACAAGAGTCACATGTGGCAGCGAGACTATTATAGATTTAGCCCTTACCAATATGGACATAGAGGTACAGGTCCAACATACACCAAAAATAATGGATCACTCGTGGATACAAGTCACTCTCAAGGATACGCACTTAGAAACGGGAGGAAAACAGTTCATAGCGAGGGATTTTAGTAAATACTCTGAGCTACATTACAAGATAGTATTAGGTGATATTATAAAAATGAATGAAGTGCTGTTACATGTTGTAACATATAATTTTACATGCATATTACATTGAATCAAATGAATAGTCAAGAAAGTAACATGTTCGAAGACTATAAATATTTGAAAATTACATTTTGATTGCTCTAAATATGTTATTTGTTCATTCATCTAAAAGTATGTACTTTATTATGTAATTCCAAATTATATTTACATAAACTTTCATTTTTTCTCTTTTCCTTTGTATGAATATTCTTCATTGCGTATTATTTTTTTTCATTTTTTTCGTAAATAGGCAGGTAAGAAATGGTATTCTGAAGAAGTAAGGAAAGTAGCAGCGGCAAGAGATAAGGCATATATCAAAGCGCAATATGAAAAAACGGAGGAGAAATGGTCAGAATATAGAGTAGAGAGAAATAATTTAGTAAAACTAATAAGCAAAACGAAAAAGGATTATTACGAGAAGGTGACAGATGAGAATACAAATACCTAGTAAATAGGCAGGTAAGAAATGGTATTCTGAAGAAGTAAGGAAAGTAGCAGCGGCAAGAGATAAGGCATATATCAAAGCGCAATATGAAAAAACGGAGGAGAAATGGTCAGAATATAGAGTAGAGAGAAATAATTTAGTAAAGCTAATAAGGAAAACAAAAAAGGATTATTACGAGAAGGTGATAGATGAGAATAAACAGAACCCTATAAAAATGTGGAAATCTCTTAAAGAAATCCTGAGGGGGGTGAATGTAAGCAAAAACGAAGTAGTGGGCTTAGACCTAGAGCTTGATGCAACCAAACACGAGTCAAATATAAGTGTAAGGAAAACAAAAAAGGATTATTACGAGAAGGTGATAGATGAGAATAAACAGAACCCTATAAAAATGTGGAAATCTCTTAAAGAAATCCTGAGGGGGGTGAGTGTAAGCAAAAACGAAGTAGTGGACTTAGACCTAGAGCTTGATGCAACCAAACTCGAGTCAAATATAAGTGTAGCTGATAAATTTAATATGTTCTTTGTAAATAGCATAGACAAGGTAGTTGAATCTATAGACACGGAAGTAGACGCAGACAGTAATATAGTGTATGAAAATGAACAATGGCTCGATGAGTTCAAACCCATCGATATAGTGGAACTACAGAAGATAATAGGTAAATTACCGAAAAAAAAAGGAACGGAAGAAGGAACCTTGATGCAACCAAACTCGAGTCAAATATAAGTGTAGCTGATAAATTTAATATGTTCTTTGTAAATAGCATAGACAAGGTAGTTGAATCTATAGACACGGAAGTAGACGCAGACAGTAATATAGTGTATGAAAATGAACAATGGCTCGATGAGTTCAAACCCATCGATATAGTGGAACTACAGAAGATAATAAGTAAATTACCGGAAAAAAAAGGAACGGAAGAAGGAATATCCAGTAGTATATTAAAAACAGCTAGAGAAATTATTCAAGATGATTTTATCGACATTATTAACACCTCATTTAAGGAAGGACAATGTCCACGTCACTGGAAAACGTCTACCATAATACCGATACCAAAAGTACAGAAACCAAAAAGCGGTAGTGACTTCAGACCAATCAACATGTTACCGATATACGAAAAAGTACTGAACATCTAAAAAGTAAGAACATCTAGAAGCAAATAACATAATCACGAAACATCAGTCGGCATTTCGGAAGAAGCACTCGTGTGAAACGGCAATACAAACCGTGGTTGATGAATGGAAATCAAATATCAGTTAAGGGAAAGTAGTGGGAGTAATCTTCATGGATTTGAAACGAGCGTTTGAAACTGTGGACAGAGAGCTGTTATTGGAAAAACTAGTGCAATATGGAATAAAGGGAAAAGTATGGGAATGGTTTAGATCGTACTTAAGCAATAGGACTCAGCAAATTAGGTTTAATGGGGAATTTTCAAATATTATAGAAACAAAATACGGAGTACCACAGGGATCGGTGTTAGGGCCACTGCTGTTCGTTATATATATATAAATGATATAGTCGACCTGTGCCCAGAAGAAGGTACAATAAAAATGTTTGCAGATGATACTGTAATATATGTGACAGGAGAAAGCAGCGCAGAACTGGAGAGGAAAATGAATATGCTATTAAATATAGTAGAAAAGTGGATGAATAGAAACAAATTAAAAATGAACGCAGATAAAACAAAATACATGATTGTTAAAAGTGTGAGAAAAGAAATGAAAGGAAATATTGTACTTAAGTGTCTGGACGGAACGGAACTAGAACGAGTGGAAACGATGAAATATTTAGGTATTATTATTGATGACAAGTTACAATTTAAAGACCATTGTAAATATATATTGAAAAAAATGGGTAAAAAAAACGAGTTTCCTATACAGAATAGGACACTACGTATCGGCGTTTACCAGATGTATTATATATAAAATAATCATAGCACCACACTTCGAATATTGTGGAACACTGCTAATGTGTATGGGTCAAACCGAAGTAAATAAACTGCAGATCGCGCAGAATAGACCGATGCGGGTCATACTGCAATGCAGCCGCTACACAAAAGTGGATGATATACTGCCAGCGGCACAGTTTATGTCCATAAGGCAAAGACTTTATTATAATGTATGTGTATTCATCTTTAAAGCTGTCAATAATTTACTACCAAAGGAATTAAAGAATAGGCTACAAATAATAGGAATGAGGGGGGGGGGTAGAGAAACACGACAAGCTGGAAATATAGTTATACAATTTAGGAGAACAAGAAACGCACAAAAGAATATGTATTACGAAGGAGTACAAATGTATAACGCCTTACCAAATGAAGTTAAAAAGTGCGAGAGAATAGAACAATTTAAAAGAATGTTAAAAGATTATGTTGTATCGTTAGTTAAGTAAATGTTATGTACTCGATTAATGTAAGTTATATACAAAAATAGCCGAGGAGGCTAATAAAAAAAAAATCTCTCTCTCTCTCTCTCTCTCTCTCTCTCTCTCTCTCTCTCTCTCTCTCTCTACCTCATATATACGCACAGAATGCAGCGCACGCACAGGACGCTTTTTCGTTTCATAGTTTTCAATTCACACCGTGCCATAAGAAGCTTCACTTTAAAAATAGGAGGAAAACAAAAAAGTATAGAAGAAAGAATAGAAGGAAAAGGAAATGGAAAAAGACTAGGGAAAATAAAGAAATTTATAAATCAGGGAATTACCGATAAGCAGACATCGAAGGAGAGTTACCGACAAAGAGATAGGCAGCATCAAAAGTTGAGGGCGCTAAGGAAAGCAAGGAGACAGGCTAGGAACTGGGGGTGTCAACCACTGAGCTATACCCAACATGGAGCGCGCACACAATAGGAAAAGTGCGGGCCGAGAGAGATAGCCGATATAATGGACGACCTCTTTGTTTTTCAGGGACGTATAAAGACGTCCGACGCCCCGAACCAGGAATTTTCGAAATTTGTTTGATGCGGTACATTAAATGAATTTCGACGGCTACGTAAACAACGTAACGTCTGTAAATAAGTGGTAAAGTGAAAAATATACGTTTGGAAACATAAAAGATAACTTGTTTGGTCACAACAAAACGCGACTATTTTCTGTATAATATTATGGTGCAAATTACCTATGAAATGAAATAGTGCTGTTGGGCCGCCACTCTTCCTTACACGACTTAATATAACACGATTTCACCATTTTTGTGGGTATATCAAACCTCAAAAATATTGTCGAACCTCACTACCCATGTGTTGATTGCAAGTTGTAACTGGAAAGCATCTACAAAGGGGCACCGATGCGTTTCAGAGATCATAGGTCGTAAGATGGTATGTACGCTACTGCCTGTTATGATATCTAGGGAAACGATACGCCAAAACTAGGAACCTCATTGGCTAAAACGCTTAGAAAAAGATGGATCCCACTATAAGAATGCTATCTCTCTCGGCTCGCACTTTTTCTACTGTTTGCGCGCTCCATGTTGAGTATAGTTCAGTGCTTCCGTATTAGAAAATCAGCAGTGACTGCAGCACCTCTAGCTTAGAAGCGTATAACACAACTAGAAATCAAACATGGTGGACAGCGTCAGCAATAGTGACAAATAAAATTTTAAAAAAGTTCTCAGTAGAACTTGAACGTAAGATTCTTTTGTCGTGAAACGGACTTCATATCCATGAGCTACTTATTCCTACTTATTTTTACATGAGGAAACTTATATTTCCGTTATGACCCGCGTTTAATGTTTAGGGTTTAATGCTTAGGGCTTCATTCGGTTTACTTTAGTTTACTTATTACTAATTTCATTAATTACTAAATTATTTATATGGTTTTCTGTCGCAAGTATCTTTTGAATAGAGTATCTTGCAAACTATAAATAATATTTTCAGGATGTCACATGAAAGAGGTCAGATACATGATCTTTATCGTTATTTAGCAATAAACAATTTTCATCGTGGCCGCTATTCGCAACGAAAAAATATTTATTGCAAAATAACAGCAAAAGTCAAATATTTCAACTCTTGCAGACGGCATCCTGAGAATATTTTTTACAGTTTGCAATAATTTATTTGTATGGCATATGCTTGCAAATGTTGAAATACCTTGTTCATAAGAAATAATGTTGAATGGTGTCATTTTTCACAAAAAAAGTTTCGAAAACGGTAAAGATAAAGTTATTGCAACTTCACGGTTAAATTATTATATGCACCATATCATTCATATTAATATGTAAAAAAATCAACATCATTTCTCTCAGGTTGACATAACACTCGACCCTCCTTAACCCATTGGGCTCCATGTGGGGTACAAAATAACCCCAGACTATCTTCTATCCCACATAAATACAGGGTTGAGGCATGGTTTTAACAGATACACCTTAGATAATTTATATATTGAATAGAGAAGATCATATTCATGTTTCTGAAAGTCTGGCATTTCAATTGCACATTTATTAAAGTCAAATATAATACAGTAAAATCTCTAAATAAGGTAACGCTTGAGACCAGCCATCTCTCAATAATGTAACTCGCCACTTCTTCAAGCACAAAGGAGTATATAGAGAAAGTGGGAGCAGATCATTACATTATTGTGAAATATTACGAAGGGAGAAACCTACGTTATTGAGAGTTTTAGGCTATTGAGTATTGCGTTATAGAAAGGTTTTATTGTAATTAGAACGATAGTTATATGCCAAAAAAATTGGGGTGTAGTACGACCCCACATGGAGTTCAAAAATGCGATATAATATGACCGAAGTCAGGGAGTTAAAAGAAATAATTCGAGTACTTACAATCAGTCGGCCTTTGTCCATTACCAGAACTTTGTCACTGTCCATAATTGTATTCAATCGATGAGCAATGGTAAGAACTGTACAAGAAGCAAATTTTGTTCTTATTGTGTGCTGAATGAGAGCATCTGTCTGTGGATCAACATTTGCAGTAGCTTCATCTAACATTAGCACTTTGTTATTTCTTAAGATAGCTCTTGCAAGACAAACTAATTGTCTTTGACCAACACTGAAGTTGCTTCCTCTATCCAGTACTCGACTGTCTAGTCCATTACTGCCAACCAATACAGCCTCCTTCAGTTCGACCTATATCAATCAGATTCATTAGAACATAATATATTTGAAAGAATAATATATAGAGTGGTCCACTAGAAACCGAATACCTAAATATCTCCCTGAGTCGTTAAAGATTGACATTTGAAGGATTTCAAAGAACGATTATAATACAAACAAAATTGTGATCCATGGTCGCTTTTTACAGCGTTAACAAGAGCACCGATTCTTTAAATGAAATTGTGTATTATGTAAGTATGAATTAAATTATGTTGAATAATATTAAACAGTTAAATACGACTAACTCAACAACGTTTGACACATTAGTATTTAATTCGCGAATTTTAAAAATATTTTATACTTTATTCATCTCCTAATTTTCAGAAAAACAAGGGAGTTCATGCGTGAGACGAAAACAAACATGCCATACTTTGTGACGTAACGTTACAAACCGGAGGGGTCATCTGCTAAAAATAACCGATAAATATGTAAATAAACCAAGCCTACCAAGATGACCAAGAGCAAGTTCGGTGGCACTGGCTAGTACCCTAACTTTGTAGTATGTAGGTATCTGGTTCGATTCCCAATCAGAACTACTAATTATAATAAGTTATAATTATAACAAGAGGTCCAACAAATTATAACTCCTTATAACTTAAAGGAAGATAGAATCTATACGATTTTCATGTATGTACAGTAACAGTGTCGTTCTAATTTAAAAGTTTAGAGAAACTCGTAGTACCGATTAGTAAGTTGGTAAATAGTATGATTATTTATACGCGCAAATTATCTTGTTTCTCCAAAAATTAAAAACTCAAATAAAGTAACTTTTGATCATTTAAATTCGAAATTTAAAAAATTCTCGAAATAAAATATCAATATGTCATACATCATTGAATTATGCGTAAGTATCATTCTAATTTTATTAAATAAAAAGGCATTTCGTTTAAAAAAATATCGGTGCTTTTGTCAACGCTGGAAACAATTCTTGCACCCTATTCGTGGATGAAAACCATTCAAATTATGCTCGAACATTTTTTCAGATCTTCTCAAACAAGGAATGTATTTTGATGTTGAGTTTCTAGTACGTCCCACACAGCACAGAAATATTTTGTCAACATTGCCAAAAGTTTCCCTTGAAATAATGCAATATTACCTGAAATATATTGAAAATTGTTTAAATATTTCTGGAATGTTGCAGGAACCTTGCAATGTCCGCTCAGCACGTTGTAATCATAATATTGCTATAATATTGCCGGTCAATATTTTGGAAATATCAATGCATAATATTAATAAAATATAACTCAGATAGATAACTGAGAAATAATATAACTGAGAATAAATTCCAATGCCAGCAATGTATCGTGGGTTTCTCTTTGGGCAGGTTGCCTATACCTCCTTAAATATTACCTCGGTTGTATTTTTAAATACTCTATACAAATGCAATAATTTCACATGTAATTTTTACATGCAGAATACAAAAGTATATATCGACGGCGAAGACGAAAACCGAATAATCGACGGATTAATTATTTACCCGGTCCTACGTTTTTTCATGCGAGTTGCCTTAGCCACCTAGCGGCGCGGCAGCGAACTAGTGTTCGCTCGGATACTCCGAGTCTGGTTAGGGACTCTTGTCACAGATTTCAGCAATATATCAGAAAGTTTTATTTATTATATTGCCCTGAAATATAGTGCAATATTTGACATAAAGACATCAACAACATTGCTGTCGCATTGAAATATTGGAATATTGTTGTAATGTTTTCGAAATATAGTGTGCTGTGTGGGTAGTTTAGAGTCTAAAATTCTGCCAGAATCACGGTGGCGAAATTGGTAACGCGCAACGCTAAGCCCCTGGAGTTCCCGATTTAATCCTGTCTTAGTCCTAATCTCGATAATTTCCAAAGAGATAATATAAAAAAAAATGTTCTCTCGACGTTTAAAGTAATGTTCATCTTTAATTCATATAAAAACAAAGTCAACATTTCATTTATTAGTCCGTAATTCATCTTTGCATAAAAAATCTTTAAGAAATACTTGTATAGAAAAATAAGAAAAACTTTATCAACGTATAGACCATTTCTCACCTCTTCAAGAACTTCCCATAAGCTGCGATCCGAAAATTCATTAAAAGGATCCAAATTTCGTCGAAGAGTTCCGGAAAACAAAACAGGATCTTGCGGAATGATAGATATACGATGACGTAAATCTTCCAAGCAAATTGAACTTGTATCGATAGAATCTATTTCTACAAATCCTTCAACTTTTGCTAAGCGAAAAAGTGTCGAAATTAGAGAAGATTTACCAGCACCAGTTCTGCCAACAATTCCTACCTATAAAATGTTACAAGATATAATATGGGAAATTGAATAGCCTCATACATTGTTTATAAACTCTGGATAAAAATAGTAGCAATGTGCGTCAACGAACCTTTTCGGTGGGACGTATTACGAAATTAAGACCTTTAAGTACAGGTGGTTCACCATCAGCGTAACGCAAGAAAACATTTGTGAATTTTATACATCCTTCGGTAGGCCAATTCGGTGAAACCGAGGAACCTCTATTATACTCTTTTGAATCATCCTTTTTCATTTTCCTAAAACTGTCGCCTTTATCGCATAGGTTAGGTTCTGGAGGTAACTGTGTATACTCAAGTATCCTTTCAACTGCCATCATTTGATTCGTAACTTCTGCACTTTGACGCATTCCCCACTGTATCATTCCAGTCATGGCCATTACTTGAGTTATTGCCAATCCAACTTCACCGCTGGAGAAATCTGCAACAAAAAGAATACTATTTACCTAATATAGGTGTTGGGTATGAAAATAGCTTCCAAATTAATAATGACGCCAACTTTCTCCCTCCTCAATTCTAGGTTTCGATGCCAGCTCAATCAACGGCAGATCAACATAAATCATCGAGATATGCAGATTTTTTAGGTTTACCACTCCATCTGAAATTCTAAGATCTGTGAAATTGACTGCAAAACGTGAATGCGTACGCCAGCGGCAAGTTCACACGAATGGCTACGACCAAGCAGCGTCGCAAAAAAAGTGGTGACAAAATTTTCAGATATTTTCGGTACAGGACATTTCAACGATGAAATGTATCTTATACTCACGGCATCACAGAGGAATAAATAAATGCGTTATCTATACGGAAGAAAAATTTACAGTCAATATAACTTATTTATATTTTAAAATATAATACTGTGTGTTAGTTATGTAAATAGGTTAACAAGTATTTTTAAGAAATTAGTTGCAACGTTATAGAATCAAATTTAATTGGCGCGTTGGAACTTAAAAACATGTATAGCTCGTCTGCTTACATTGGTTTGCCGTTGATTTGACGGATATTGAAACCTACAACTGACCAGGAATGCATCCTCTGATTTTGATGAAACTCACATACATGTGTAGAGCATGAAAAAGTAAGCGACACGTATTTTTTTTTATCGGCGGAACACCGTTTAAAGGGGTGAAATGAACCACCCCCTAGAACCCCTAAAGAACGTCCCAGTGTGTTTTTGGCTGTTTCACGTATTTGTAATTGAGATATTTAAATGCAACCAATTGGAGATTAATGCTTATGGAAAATAATAAAAATTACATTTTGTTCGGTTCTGATGGGGTAAATTTCTAAAAATTTATAGGGGTTAAAAATTGCAAAATTTTTTCTAACAAAAAAATGTACCGATCGAATTTCAATGAGTCCAATTGCACTTGAAAGAGCTAAAAAAAGTAAGAGATAGTGCCTTTGCGTTTTTCGAAAAAGCTTATTTAAGAGGTGAACCAATGCAGATGCTCTTGTTATTGAACGTTATATTGAAACGATCAAGCTTCTCAATTAATGCATAGAAAGAGTTACGTAATAATTCGAAAGGCCAATTTAAGCGACATAATGCCGTTTTAATGAGAAATTGATTGCATCTGTATAGGGGTGGTTCACCTCTTAGGAGGTTTTATCGAAAAACGCAGACATGTATCTCCTACTTTGTGTTAGCTTTTTCAAATGCAATTTGTTTCATTTAAATTCGATTCATACATATTTTATTAGAAAAATTTTGCAATATTCAACCCCTATACATTTTAGTAACTAGCAAATTGCCCTTGCTTCGTTCAGGCAAAATTAAACGGAATTCTTTAGAATTTTGTAAAACTTCCTAGAATGTTCTGGAACATTATATGAAATTCCTTCCAATTTTTTGGAACTTTCTAGAACTTTTTGGGACATTTTATGGAATTCTATAGAATTTTCTACAATTCCTAGAACATTCTATGGAATTTTATCGAATTTTCTGGAACTTTCTAGACAGCGAAGAAATGAATCAAATGAGAAGCGAGAAATACGTTTAGCTTCACAACTTCAGAAAAGCTGTATGAAAAAACAGAATTTTCTCAATATCCTGAAATATCCTGAAAGGATATCCGTTCCAAAACATAAACTTGTCCGATCGCTCGAGGCGCTCGGAGGACTACCCTACTACGTGCGCCCAGCAATTGTCCCCCGAGCGCTTCGAGCGGAACTCGCAAAATTTAGGCGTTTTTTTCAAATGAAATATTTAACCCCTTAGCAAACTCATTTTTGGATGTTTAAAAGCGCGTTTTAATCGCTGAAATCTCAGCTACAACGTGGAATAAATATGAAACTTCTATTTCATCGCATTCGGGTGCGTTTGCGATATCTCGAGATCTCCGTCACGGGATCATCTCCGAGAACAATAATTTTGTGAGAATCTGCAGTATCATTAAAGATGATATCACGCAGACACTGGACTAGATTGGCCGGCGCGTTCAGAAGTTATGGCCATTTAAGTGTTTTCACTTAAAGGGGGTGTAACTCCCCCTAGAGTGATCCTACAGGAGTTCAATGGAGGTGTTTTTTTAATGCCGAAGGATGCTCTCTCTCTCGTGCCATAATTAGAAATATGAATTTCCTTCTGGAATTACTAGTTCTCGCACTTTTCAAAAAGTCCGCAAATGTACTTTTTCACTCCAACCCCTGCCATTCGGCTATTTTGTATTCGATCGGGATAAAACCTTTACCATTCGAACGGGAAGGAAATTTCCTAAAAAAATATGTCTTTGGTTTTTCGAAATCTGTCATGCTTTCACAGAAATATATAAAAATTCAAGTGTTGCACTTCAATTGGACGTTACTGTATATTGATTTACCCTATCAGAATCGATCAAAATGTATTTTTTATTATTCACCATAAGTATTAACTTTCAATTGGTTTCATTTAAATATCTCAACTGTAAATATGTGAAACAGCGAAAATCACACTGGGACGTTTTTTCGGGGTTTTTAGAGTTTCATTTCATTCCTTATAACGGTTATCCGCTGATAAAAAAAAAAGACGCGTCACTTAGTTTTCGATGCTCTAGAACGTATTTGAGTTTCATCACAATCGGAGGAGTACACCCGGGATATCTTCTTTGTGAGGAACGGAGAGAGTGGACGTCATCATTTTGGAAACTACTTTTGAACCTCTCTGTACATTTTACCATGAAACTTTTTACAATCAAGAAGTTCAACAAAGCGTTTCAACAATAAATATAAAAGGGGAATCCGTACTGATTCGTACGGGCTCGAAGCGAGAAAACTTCACATCCAGAACTCGAAACTCAAAAAGTACTGTTACTACATATATTTGAATTTATCGAAATCTTCAGATAAAATCTCAGTCCCTGCATTGCCTAATTTTTTAATCAATTTCTAGAAAATTAACAAAATCGATATAAATATGGATGCTAATGTCCTGAAAGTAGATGTGCTATGGTCTCCGTCATGGCCTTTGCCAATCTTGATAATTTAATAGAGGTTCTAAGCTCCAAGGCAAATAGTAAAACATAATAATTTCACCTCCGAATCATACCCTATGGAACACTTCGAAGCATCCATTCTTACAATAATTCTACAGCCTGCGACACCGTATAAAAAATAATCAACTACGTTAAGCATATTTTCACGCTTTACTAAACGGAAGACAGCATCGTCATGTAGAAGTTCATGGAGCACTACGATTCCCCCTTAAAGATTTAATAAAAGTACGTGCGATGTTATTTCTTAGCGTATTTGAAATTTTAATGTAATAAATTATAATACACTAAGACGACTTCCGTTTCCGGCGACACGGTGAGAAGGTGTTACAGTGACACTGTACAAAAGGCAAACGGTGTGCGGTGTAAGAGATGGGCAAACGGGCAGAGAAAATATAGTGCTAGAAGAAGGAAGGAATAGGGAACAAAGAGAATAAATCAGCATAAATAGGTAGGGTAAGGAGGGTGAGCTAAAAGGGGGAAAGAAAAGGGGACAGTGAGGTCAGGAGTGCAGAGGGACTGGGAAAGGCGGGAGGCAGGTAGCAAGGAAGAAGGACAGACAGGTGGAGACAGAAGGTAAGGAAGGAAACAAGTGAGGTTGATAGGACAGATAGAAAGGTAGAGTAACGGGAGCAGGAAAGGAAGGAAGCGGTTATGGAAGAAGTGGGCAGGGGCCTGAAAAGGAATTTAATGCTTGAGAAAGTACGGATAGGGAGGACAGCAAGTGAGGGAGATCTGGTGGGAGCAAATGTGAGGGGAAAAAGGAAAGAAAGGGAGGCAGAAGGAGAGAAGAGGCAGACGAGGGAGTTGGAAGAGGCGGAAGTTTTCAAAAGGAGTAGGAAAGTGGAAAGATCACCGACAAAGGAGGCAGGAACAAAAGGAATGGAAGAAATGATGAGGAGGATGGAAGATGTAATGAGATCGGAGTGTGAAAGAGTAAGAGAGAGGGTAGATGAGCTGGCGAGCGAAGGGAGGAAGGAGAGAGAGGAGATGAGGAAACAATGGGAAGAAGAGAGAGTTGAGATGAGGCAAAGGATTCAGGAGCTAGAGAGAAAAGTGGAAGGTCTAGAAGAGGATAGACTGGAAAAGGAGGAAAGGGAGAGAAATGGGATAAATGGAGAAGAGAGGGTAGAGACAGGGGGAAGAAGAAAAGGACTAGAGGAAAAAAGGATGAGAAATCTGGAGGTTAGATTGGATAGGAGAGAACGGGAAATTAGAAAGAACAACATTGTGATAAAAGGAGTGAAAACGGGAGAAGGGGAAGAATACATAAAGGAGGTAGACAGGATCTGGGAGATAATAGGAGTCGTAGGAGGTAGAAAGAAGATAAGAAGCGTAGGAGGACAGGACGGGGAAGGAAGGGGAGTAGTATGGGTGGAGCTAGAAGGGCCGGATAAGAAAAGGGAGGTAATGAGGGCAAAGAGTAAGCTGAAGGGAGAAAGAGAAAGGATAGAGGATGACCTGACGGTGGAGGAAAGGAGAGTAAAGTGGAAGATAGAGAGCGAAGCTCAGAAAGAAAGGGCACAGGAAAACAGGGTGCGAATAGGGTACATGAAAATGTGGGTGAACGGGGTGGTGAAGATGTGGGACGAGGTGGGGGAGGATTGGGCGGTGAAGACGGGAATCGTGTAGCGGTGGAAAAGGAGAAAGGGGGAAAGAGGATATTAAAGATGAGTAAAGAAAGGGAAAAGGAGAAGGAAGTGTATAAGGTGGGGTTCTGAAATGTGGCGGGGGTGAAAAGAAAGGATGAGGACTTCTGGACAGGGTTAACAACGTGGGACGTAGTAGTAATGCTAGAAACATGGGTTAATAAGAAAGGTTGGGAAGGAATAAAAGAGAAGTATAAGAAAGGTTTTAAGTGGGAGGTGCAGGAAGCAGAAAGGAGTAAAGGAAAAGGCAGAGCAAGGGGAGGCATGGTGATAGGGGTCAGGGAAAGGATAGAACTGGGAAAAATAGGGGAGTGCGGAGAACAGGGGTGGTGGGAAAGAGAGGTAAAGCTAGGAAAGGAGTGGTGGTGGATAGTTGGGATTTATGTAAACAAAGATGTAGACAAGAAGCTAGAGCTGTTGGAAAAGTGGCTGGAAAGAAGAGGGAATGAGTGCAAAGTGATTATAGGGGAGGATTTCAATGCTAGAACGGGTGGGGAAGGAGGTATGGTTCTAGATAGGAGTGGGAAAGACCCAGAGGCAGACAGGGTGTCGAAGGACAGAATTATTAATAGGGAAGGGAAAAAATTGTGTAATTTAATAAATGAAAGAGGATGGGGAGTTTTGAATGGATGTGCGGAAGGGTCGAGGAGGGGAATTGGACGTTCGTGGGAGAAAGAGGTTGTTCGGTGATAGATTACATAGTGATGAGTAAAATGGTGAGAAATAGGGTACTGAGGATGGAAGTAGAAGGGAAGGTAGACTCAGATCATCTGCCGGTAGTGGTCTGGGTACGTGGAGAAGGAGGGAAGAGACATCATAAGGGGCAGAGCAAAGGGGAGGGTATAATAGGCAGAGGTGACTGGACAGACAGAGGGAAAGAGCTGTTTCAGGAAAAGGTAGATATGTGGGAGTGGGGTGAGGGGAGTGTGGAGGAAGGATGGGAAAGACTGAGAGGGAAAATTGTAGAGGGGCTAAAGGAGACCGAGGAGCTGAAGAAGAAAGGAGGGAGGAGTGGATGGTGGGACGAGGAGTGTAGAGAAGGAAAGGAAAAACTAACGGAGAAACTGGTGGAGTTCAAGAAAGGGAAGGGGGATGAAGTAGGATACAGAGAGGGAAAAAGGAGGTATAAGAAGCTGTGTGATGACAAGAGGAAGGCGGAAAGGGAGAAATGGGAAGAGGAGATAAAGGCAATAAGGACGGAGGAGCAGGTATGGAAGGTAGTAAATAGGGGAAGAAAAAGAAGGAAGGGCGTGAACGAGAACATCAGGATGAATGAATGGGATAGGTATTTCAGAGGTGTGTTGGAAGGGTCGGATGAGAGAGTGAGGGGAGGGGAGTTACTAGAAAGAGAGATGAGTGAAGATGAAGAAGACGTCACACTGCAGGAAGTAAGGGAGGTGGTGCAGGGACTGAAGGATAGGAAGGCGGTGGGGGAGGATAAAATTCCAAATGAAGTGTGGAAGTACGGAGGAGAGAATATGGAAAGGGCATTATGGGAGATATGTAAGAGAGTGTGGAGAGGAGAGGGGTGGCCAGAAGGTTGGAAGGAAGGAGTAGTAATTCCAATAGTGATGAAGGGGGAGGGAAAAAAGGTGGAGGAGTATAGGGGGGTCACACTGACACAGACAGCATACAAAGTATATGTAGGGGTTCTGGAAAGGAGGCTGAGGAGAGAGGTGGAAAGAAAAAGTTTGCTGCCACCGAGTCAAGCAGGCTTTAGAAAGGGGATGGGGACGGTGGACAACATGTATGTACTAAATTACCTGATGAACCAAGAGTTAGGAAAAAAGAAAGGGAAGCTAATGCTGTTTTTTTGTAGACTTCAGGGCGGCTTTTGACTCGGTGGACAGGGGGAAGTTGTTCGAGAGTATGAGGGAAAGAGGGGTGAGGGAAGGGCTAGTGAGAAGATGTAAAGTGGTGATGGAGGAAACGCGTAATAGAGTCAGAGTAGGAAGGGAGGTAGGAGAGAAGTAGGAGGTAGGAGAGAGAAGACAGAGAAGGGGGTAAGGCAGGGATGCCCGCTCAGCCCCCTCCTGTTTGTCTTTTTCCTAGCGAACCTAGACGAGGAACTGGAGAGGGGCAGATGGGGGGAGAAGAGCTGGGGGGGAAGAAATTGTTCTCTCTAGCATATGCGGATGATGTGGTGTTAATGACGAGAGGGGAAGATGAGATGAGAGGCATGATGAGGACGCTGGAGAGATATGTGGAAGGGAAAGGGCTAGAGGTGAATATAAAGAAAACAAAGGTGATGAGATGTAGGAAAGGAGGTGGGAGGTTTAAAATGGTGAGCTGGAGATGGATGGGAGAGGAAGTGAAAGAGGTAAAAAAGTACACATATTTGGGGTATGTAGTTAAGAGGAATGGGGATCAGGAGGAACATGTAAGAGAGAGAGAGAGAGAGAGAGTGAAAAAGGGAGCGAAAGTGCTAGGACACGTATGGGCAATTGGAAAAAGGAAGTTCAGAGATGATTGGGGAAGAAGGGTATGGCTGTTTGACAAGTTCGTATGGTCGGTTGTGAGTTATGGGGTAGAAATCTGGGGATGGAAGAAAAGAGAGGAGGTTGAAAGGCTGCAGGAGAGGTATTTAAAATAGGTGTTACGGGTAACAAAAAGAGTGCCATGGTATATGGTAAGGGAGGAGGTAGGAAGGGAGGAGCTGGAATCAAGGGCGGGAATGAGGGCCTGAGGGTATAAAAAGAGAATAGAGGAAGGAAGAGGGGGGAGCTAGCGAGAAGATGCAGGTTGGAAATAAAGAAGAGGGTGAGAGCTGGAAAAGGGGTAGAGGGATAGGAAGGGGAGAGAAGAGAGTTTTACGAAAGTAGAGGATGGAAGGTAGAGAAGGTAGAAGAGATGTGGGAGTCAGGAAACATGAGAGGAGAGGAGATAATGAACATAGAAAGAAGGAAACAGAGGGAGGAAAGATGGGCCAGGATAATAGAAGCAAAGGGGAACAAGGAATATAAATTCGTTAAGGGGAATGGGGAGCCGGAATACCTAAAGAGGGGCTGGAATGAGGAGAGGTGGAGCAGAGTGGCGAGGTTTAGATTATGGGATGAGATGAATGGAGGAATTTACTGGGAGAAGGAAGAAAAAAAGAGGTGTAGAATATGTGGGTATGGAGTAGAGACGTGGGAACATGTATGGGAGGTATGCTCGGGTTTGGGGATAGACAGGGGATGGCAAGAGGATGAGAGAAGAAGTGTTGGGGGAGAAAGGACAGGGGGAAAACTGGCTAGTAGGAATAGAAAGGATAAGAAAAGAAAGGGGGCAGAGAGGGAAGGAGAATTAGGCGGGGATTAGGAAAAGAGCGCCGGAAACGGAGGCCAGTAGGGTGAGAGGTGGAGAGAGTGATGCGAGGGCGAGAGTGAATGAGAGATTGGAGAGAATGAGCCAAAAGAGTTTTTTCTTTGAAATTTCTTTTTCTCCTTTGGCGAGCGAGGCATGAGGTTTGTGCGAAAGAACGAGGTTGTAAATAGGATAATTTGTACAGTAGTTTTAAGTTTTGGTGTAAGCGGAGCGGGAGTCCGTGCTGTAACCCGCAAGGGAATAAATGGCAATAGTTAGATTATAATACAATAAGACTTTGTCTTAAAACGTATGATAGTAATGAATACCGACCTCCTCCCAACAGAAGAAAACTGTAGGTAACCACAGTTGTAAACAACAGGCAAAATACATCCAAAGAGAAGCCAAAGGCTGTACTTGTTGCAATGAACATGTACCACGAAGAGGTATGGACGTCTTGAAATCGATCAAACTCCTGTTTAAGGATCTCTTGTGCCCCATACGCTCTAATCGTCGGCAAACCATTCAGTGTTGCATTTAAATGTGTAAAAACTGGAGATCTTGCTATTAAGAAAGAAAAAAACATTTTTACGTTTTATTAGACACTATTATTTTAATAACCCTTGTCACTGATGAGTGTTATTACTCTATAAAAATAAACTTAAACTTACTCATTCCTTCGAGACGTTTAATGTTTTTGCTGGTCTTAAGATAAACTTTTCGGATCCAGTGAAAGATGCCGCCTATGATAACTATCGGAATAAGGAAAAAAGGATTGACGGTACAAGTGACTATCAATGATCCGAACATCATCATTATAACTTGGCCAGCATCTAACATTGCTTTAGGAAGAAGTTCATCGACGGCCAGCATATCTTTGGAAAATCGATTTAGAATCCTACCACTCGGATTTACGTCAAAAAATCGCATACTTGTTCTGATCAAGGAACGAAACATGCTATCGTGCAGCTTTTGACTACAACGCATGCATAACGTGTAAAAGGAAATCGATCTCGTAATGCCCACAAAAAAAATTGCTATTACTATTCCTGTATATATATATATATATGCTGTCTCTGACAATTGACTTGTTCGCATGATATCCGTAGAATTATACGAGGCGCTGGTGTTATCACTGGTAGACGAGGAATAATAGCGGCTTTCCTCTGCGCGTATCCTGAAACATTAAAAAAGCGTATAAGAGGTTAGAAGAGAAGAAATAGAAAAGATATAAATAAATAAGGAAAGAATAAACTTACAAAATAGGAATAAATGCATCATTTAGACTGGCAAATGCTTGAGTAAGAACAAATAAAAGAAAAACAGTAAAGGCGAAGCAGAGATTAGCACCGGATTGAAAATATTTGAGGAAAACAGAGCCCCTGATGGTGCCCCGTGATGTTACTTCAAGCATTCCATTCAACTTTTCAGGATAGTCATCCTCGTCCTCCATGTCGGTATCGCCACCACTGATCTCAGTTGTTCGACTCTAAATAAAAATTGCAGTACATTATATTTCTTTATTATCTAATACAGCAAACTTAATACAATTATGAAATATAATATAATTATTATTAGAAAAATAATATATAGGCAAGCAAAATATACCAAAAATCTAAATAAAAAATACCGAGTATCTAAAAATCTTTCTTGGTTATGATGATCCGAAATAATTTTCAAGATAAAATTTGAATAATTTCCAAGAACGAACATGTTTCAAAAAAAAGTTTTTTCCAAAGTCACTTTTTCCAGCGTTAACAAGAGCATAAGAGAAAATTAAGTGACATACGTCATAGGATCTTTGCGTATCTTAATAAGTTGTAACATTCCAAACTTATCCTCTTTTCCTGTTATCCTACATCCTTTTCCCATGACAGCTACCTTTTTTTTATGATGAATACACAAAGATGTCGCAATAACACACATGAGCACTGCGATAGAGGATAACGATATCTAATTATAACATAACTTCCCAAATCCCTACTTTTATACAAGGTGTTCTATATAAAACTCACTGAAATAGTGCCGTTCTCTATTTTGGAAAATTCTAAGAAATACATGTTTCTGCAATTTTATTTCGCGTATTAAAGTTTCAATATAATTAGCGTTGAAGTTGCTATAATTCGACCAATAAAAACGCTTTCAGATAAAACGTGGAAGGCGAAGTCCGGCGTAGCCGCTGGCAACGCGAGCCAGCCCGCAAGTACTTATAGTAGAGTTCAATGTGTTTTTTTGACAGTTTGCATGCAATGCAATCTTCTGCACTGAGAAAAAGGTTTGGTAAACTGAAAAAAAATTGTTTTGAATAACTAAACCCGGCGGTTACGGGTGGCGAAGTAAATATGTAGTTCAGTCGACCAAAAAGATGTATCAAAATCGAAAGAAACATTTCATACGCACAACTATGTACATGCTTGACCCCACAAAGTAGAAAGTCCATTGAATTGAATATTTAATTATTTTCATTCTATAATTGGTTAAATGTACCCAGTGTACGATTACGTTACCAAAATTTTTACTTCAATTTTACCGAAACTACACAAAATATCGTCGGTATTCAATATTTATGTTGCTTGATTATGTATTGTGACGTGGCATTTCGACATGCACGACACAAAACGTAACATTCTGCGATTTCCGGCTACATCGTGGGACTCTATGAGTGGGGAAGGGATTTCGTGACGTTGGACTGTATATTATTTGTTAAATTTATACTTATTTCCCTCGTGGGAATGTTTTTTTTGTGTTTTATATTTTTCAAGCGGGTGCGAAAGCATCTTGTCGAAATTTGAATACTACGGGCCTCGAGAGTGCCAACTACGGGCCTAGCGGAGCGCGCTGGTGAGGCGACGCGACAGCCAGACCAAAGCACACACCTTAAGAGGCCAGCTACGCGGGACATTCGGCGAGCGTCTCCCCGATCCAGAGGGCATATGGAAGTTAGAGTAACATATGGAAGTTGCAGTAATGATGTGATTCCCTCCTCCCGAAAATATCACTGCAGCCATCCCGAACCCGAAAGATGCTAGGATCTACTTTATCGGAATCGAAGAAAACAATCAAAGATCTGGCGAAGCCGATGGGTCCGCCAATCAAATTGGCCTAAGAGATGTATTACAGCGTGCCTCTTGGGAAGGTTCCCGATTTTCGAAACTCTTAGCGTCACTCACGGTGTGGCCGAGCCTAGAAACAGACGTGTATTCGTCTGGTAAATTTGGTATAGTCTCGTACTGTTTTGTTCCAGTTTTGTCGGATTTGTATGGTACTGTATAATGTACCGTGTCGTTTTGCGACCGCTTGAGGGACCCAGTATCAAAGAAATTGTATCTTGAGGATATCTGGAGTGACTAGGAAGGCGGTGAGTGACGCTTTTGTGAGCTGGCCATATTTACGTGAATGAGAGATAGACCGTGTCGCAGTGTCGTGCCTTACGCATTCCTGATTATTATTGTATCCGCGGATTGCTAATCGGTGGCGCTCTGGGGGATCGGCACTATTTAATATCGTTTATGGGTCAAATTTTGGTTTTGCGTTACCGCCGATACAGTCCACGTCTCGCGGAATCATTTCCTTAGCGTATGGGTATCGTGAGTCTGTTAGCACTCGTTAACGTTAAATTTTGTATAATATCCTTTTGCATGTATATTGGAGTACGATGTATATTTTTGTAGAATATTAAGGTCCTGTAAATTTGTAGATATTATTTTGCCAATAGGTCTTCGGGACAGCCAGCTTAATAATTTCCCTGGGGGATCTACAGTCCCGTTCTGCGTAAAGATTGTATATTTTGTTCAGGAACCGTTGTTCCATCTCTTTCTCTTGCTTGGTTTAATAAATCGGGCCAGATTGTGATTTTGTATTTAATTTTGAAAACTGTAGTATTTATTCGTTGTAGTTTTGAGAGTGAACCTCCTCCCCAAATTTCAGATTTTGATTATTATCTCCCAGACCCAGGACCCCACCGCATAAGAGCTGGCCCGGGTGTCCTTAGGAGACAGCGGTATAATTCTGGTTATACCTGGCGCCCAATAATTTAGTATTTTATTAATTATTTCTCGCGGTGCCATTTATTTGTGCTTCACCGTTAAAAAGTGTCGTCACAGTATATATTTTTTGAAAATATCGTAAGTATTCGAGTAATTTAGTGTAACGTATTAGGTTTTGCATTCAAGGGGTAGGAGGATTTCCCGCAAATTATAAATTAGTTTGTTGATTCTAAAAATTTGATATCGAAGCAGTGCGATGGATTGAACTACTAGGTGTTGTACGTTCGTACCTTTTATCGCCTCTTCGTCTCTTTTTTCATAATTCTATAACAAACTTTGGAGCTTATCGGCTCATTGACCCACTTTTGCTTGCGGATATACCTGTCCCTCTGGTGGCCGGTGGCTGTATTACGCCGCTTGGGAGTGGGACTTGCTGTGCGCCTCCTTGTCTCGGTGGACGGTTTGGGAACGTTGTATTAGTAAATTTATTTCATAGATAAAAAACAGTGTTCTAACAAGTTTGTTCAGGTATTTTTTTTCTAAGTGATTGAAACCCTTTTACCCCTTCACATCTCCACTGTATATATACACCCATATAATATTGCGGAGTTTCTTGAGAATTTCCGTTACGACCGTTTGATCCGCGTAATAATATTTATTTTTCGAGCTACTAAATGTGTTGTAGCTACATAAAAATATTTAGCTTCTATCAGTCAAACTGTTTGGTCGGCGTATTGATATTTTTTTTCGAGCTACTGAATGTATTGTAATCACATGGCAAATTTAGTTTATATCAATCGAATCGTTAAATTGATTCAAAGATATTTATTTTTTGACCTATTAAATCTACAATAGTTACATTGCAATATGTGATGTCGTTTACTAAACCGTTTGATCGACGTCACCACATTAATTTGTCTTGCCAAATATTTATGTAGTTGCGACGTAGGACTATTTAGTTAAATTAACCAAAATATTTGATCGATTCAAAATTTACAATATTCTACCTAATTGAATGGATTACTCAAATCAACAGCATATTTCCTTGATCAGATAAAAGATATAGTTGAAATAAATATATGCACCGCCAGTACAGTGACTGTATATCCGATTAAGTTGAAAAAAAGTGTTGAGTAAATTCCGTTTTAGTTTATTTTGATACAGTCGTGCAATCGAGATAGGTGTAGTACACATTCGAAACAACTATATCAGTTTTATTACTTCAAGAACGTTGTAATCAATTCAAAGTCGCTTCGATTGATTCAACCCAATTTTTCGTGATCACAGTTGGGTAGTTGATATTACCAAACCTTTTTCTCAGTGTGTAAACCACAGTAGTTTTATGTATAATAAAATAAATATATGCTAAAATAGAAAAAAAATGTCTAGTGCAAAAATAATGCATATGTATTCTCTGTCATGAATATTGTATGTCAAAAAAAAACACATTTAACTCATCGACCAACTATAAACCAGACTAATAATAGGGTAAACAGCCCTATTAGCGACAGTGTCCCAGATTGTGGTACCAATGGCATAATTTTGATTGCCATGAATACAGATTTTGCCGAATAATAACTCAATTACCGGCTAATTGAAAAGTTTTCACTTTTAATGATTGGAGAAACACACTTTTTTAAATGAAATATTTTAGAACAGAAATTGACCAGTGAATAGTGCGACACGGGTCTCAGTGGCTCCGCAGCGGCAGTGGTAGACGGTGGCAATAAATGCGGCGAGCTATGTCGTTGTGAATTTGTTCGTCAGATAAGTATAAAAAGACATAAAAATGGTGTTGACATCGTTAACAGGAACCAGACTATCGATGAGATGAGAAATTACTTAATTTTTGGTTACATATTTGTTCAAATTCGCGGGATCAATAAGTGCGTCACATAATTCAGGTTGTGTTGCTGTGTTGTTGACACTCGTTTGTATGGAGATAGTCAAAAGTGGTAGAAAGATGATACGCGCAAGCATCATAAATTGCGAAGACGTCATAAACTGCGCAGACGCCATACATTGCACCAACTATGACATAGGTGTTTTCTCCAGTGTCGGAAACCCCGGCAGCAGAGAAGCGCTATTAAAATAATTGTTCCACTTGTATAATAGGTGATTCTCATCCAGAGAGCTTGAACGCAAATGTTAAAACCTTCAATTTTCAGTTTGGCTATATCACGCATGAATAAATAGCAAAAATCCGACACGGCCGCTCTTAAACTATCACTAACTGGGCCGTTTACCTTATTACAAGAATGATAGTGTCACTGCTTATCTACTTTACTCCTTATATTACTATAACAATGTCTCCAAGCAAATTACTTGTCAATTCTATTATTGTAGTCTACATTAGAAGGATTAAAGTAGGTAAAATATTAGCCTTTCAGACACAAAATAACTTAACGAGGTAATACGTGAGCGTAAGGAAATCAACCAATCAGAATCTAGTACTGCCCCTTGGAGGGGA